CCTTCTGGTTCTTTAAGGAAAAGATGTTTCACCTTTAATTTTGCTGCATTTAGCATAGTTTTCCAGTGTGTAAGGTTCCTGTGGAGGTCAGTACGTGCTGACCTCTGAATAAACATGGAAAAAGACTATTTCCAAGCACAGAACCTTACACTAACAATATTGCTGTTTCAATTGTAAACATGATTCATTTCACTCAAGGCTGTAGAAGAAAATAATAATGTTAGTGTACTCAAGTTGTATGGCTAGTAAGCCAAAATATGAACTGTCCTGAATATGTAAGGTGCAGAATCTGATGCAATTCAGCCAGCATGATCAAAACAAGGATGGAGAGTGCATGTAAGAGCTGAAGTACTTTTCTTTTTTAGATACTTGTTTAATCATATTTAAAAAAAAAAAATTCAGAAACAATTCTTTAGTTGATAATAAGTTCCTTTACCAGAAAGTGAATCAAGAAGGAATGATTATTAGGTTAGCTACTCCAAAAAGTGTACGGTTTCGACTTTGGCACAAGCGATTATTTGTCTTGATAGCAGAGCAGTTGCCTTAATTAAAACACTGTCCGCATACCTGGCTTGCTCTGATGGAGAATACTGTTACAGGAGACAACAGAATCCTTGTTCAACATGCAGGAGAGTATGCTTAACTCACTTTCCATTCAGTTTTTCTTTCCTCTGTACTACACATTCATTGTATATCTCCTTGAAAAAAAAAAAAAAACCCAAAAAACCCACAAACACAGTGCCCCGTTGCATGGTATGTGCTTCTGAATGATGCTGCTGTTTAGTTCCAGGCTGAACAGCTGAGTCTGGACCCCCTGAGATTCCTCCCTTTTTTCTTTTCTAATTTACCTTGAGGGTGGTCTTGCTCCATGACTATACATACAACCACCGTAACAGATGATTGAGTGCTTATTTGTGGAAACATGGGTGCATTAGGGTCCAGAGTACGCTGTGGACCAAATTAAATTAATGATGGCCTTTAGCTAAAGGTACAAGGTTAAGATTGTATTCTACATTTGACCTTCCACTGCTTAGAGTGGGAAAAACTTGTGTCAAAATAAAGATGGGAGCCCCGTCTTTGCTTATAAAACAATCCTCATAGCTTTAATGTTGTCATCCCAGCAACACTTATTTATAGCGCGGTGATGAATTGAACAAAATCACTGCTTTGGCAATTCAGTATGTGGCCTCGGGAGCGGGTTAATTCTTACATTTCTAAATTTAAGTCAAAGTTGCCTGGGTAATGACTGTTGGAGGCATGCACTCAGGCACCTAAGTGTGTTTTGGCTTTTTGGTTAATATAGAACAAGCTAATAAGAAAAGTTAACGATGCAAATCCATTCTTTCAGACTGAAAACTCAGAGGATCGGTTGGTTTTCTAAGCAGAGTTGTCTTTGCTGCGATCAGAAGATTTGGATGTTTTCTTGCTAAATAGAAACTGAATTTTCCAAGAGTCTGAAAGTGCACAAAAGTAATTTAAATGCTTTAGGAAGATTCAATACTTGACATGGGGAAGAATCCAAGGAAAGGTGCATGCATAGCGTAAAATAATTGCTCGGTGCTTACATTGCAGCAGGTAGCTTAGCCTGGCTGTGCCAAATACCATTGCACGTTTTAAAATGCAAAGGACCTAAATTGAGAAGGAATCAAATAGTCTCATGAACATGTAGCTGAAGTGTTTAAAGCTGCAAATTACCTTGTTCAGATTACTGCATTTGCCTTGTAAGCAGCTTTACAACATAAAAGAGCAAGACCAGTATGCATAAATCTTGTAAATTCATTCTTAGAAAGGAAGTACAGCAGCTGTTGAAAGTTGATGTAATAAATGATACAAAAATGATTCTCTTGGGGTAACTGTGCCACACTTGGATGTTTTTCCAACAATTAGAATTACGTGAGTAGTTCCATCAGCTGGAATATCTCTGTTCTTTTTATAAACACTGTTGAAAATTTCTAATACTTCCAAAGTAGATGAGTGGGTTTCCTTCCTTGTTTTATTCTGAAAGGAGAAAGAGAAAAGAATGTATTGCCCGAAGCCCTGTAGAGTGTCTGTAGCAAAGAGACAAGGGGTCTATAGCATGCTATTACAATAGAGCGTTATAATATGGTATAGGAAATGCTAGTAAGTATATGATGTATTGCATTCACTGTTACGGCTGTAAGACTAGCCGCAGCTCTTGGAAATTGGAAAAGTGACCATGCTCATGAATATCTGTGTTACCAAATCATCCAGAGATAAGTTTAGTTCACCATTACTATGTGGAAATTAGATAGATTGCATCTTAAAAACAATATGTTAAGAGTTCCTTCTAGTCAGCGAGAGAGTGTGCTGTCCCACTGAGCAGTACGGAAACACCATACGAGGCATGTGCTATTTTTAAAAGAAAGTTAAATTTAAAAGCTACTTCTGTGGCTTTTTGTAAGGGTCTTAAATTCAGATGGTTATTTGGAGCTTTTCTGCAGGGGAACTGACTCTGTCTTGAGTTTGGGATTTCTTCTGAAAACGCTTTGTATGTGTATTTGAGTTTGAAGAATTGTACAGTGAGACCTCTCGTGCTCTCTTGCCGCACATGTAGCATAGGGCTTTTCCCAAAGAAATTGAATAGAAGCAGAGTCTGGGAAAAAAGCCACTTTTCTCCAAATTGTGTTTTCATCACTATAACTCATTCTAAACGCACGTCAGAGCGAGGAGTCCGTTCCTGGACGCTTATCTCTGTGCTGATGGGCAGCTGGCCAAGGAGCAGCTGAGAAGAAGGAATATATTCAGCTATATATTCATATTCATTCATCCTACTCTTAGGAACAGCACGGAGCGTAGCTCTTAATGACGAGGTGCTTTGGGTCTTGTTGTGTGTGCATCCGAAATTGAAGCAATCGTCTCGAGTTGCTCTCTGCCTGAAGAGTCAGCCTAAAATGAACAGCTAATGGAGAAGCGAAGGAAGAGCCAAAGTGGAACCAGATGGGCTCACGAACGCAGATACAGCCTTTCACTTAACTTGGGCCACGGCACTGCTGATTCGTATCAGCTCCGTGGAGTATGAGGGTTGTCTGTCTTCAGGAAAAAGTAAAGATTTTCTTAAAAGCTGCTTGCTTCCTGTCCACTTGTATTTACTCAGTGAATGCGTAATGGTTTTGAGGTTGCTTCAGTCAGGTCTCCGAGTATCGAATGACGAAGGCCAACGACAAGCGTCTAGCTTTATATAAATACTGAACTGCCCTGCTCTTCAGTCATCCCTTGTTACCACATTACAGCGTACGTAGACCAAAGTGAAAAACCTCAAAGTAATGTTTCAGCTTTTTCAGCACTGTTGGTAACTTCACCAATCATTTCTTGTTTTTTTTCCTCTTGTTTTTTATGTGATTATGGGCTGATTGTGTGGGTTAGGGGTTTTGTCTCTTGCTAGCCACATCTTGTTTTGTCCTTTGGCCTTTCTGGGTTTTTGGGGGTTTTCTTGTTGTTGTTCTTTTGCAGTCATGCTGTTTTATATTTGTCCCTGCTTACTTTGAGTTAATACCCTCTGTATGTTATTGCCTTGTACTTGGGATTGGGAATGATTTCGTTTCGGGCAGTTTGATCTCCTATCTAGTGCATTAAAATAGTTTGCACTTATGCTTTCGGGAGCTGTTGCACCCCTAGTTTGTTTTTTCTCCTCTAGGCTTCTTTCCTTTGAAATTATACCAAGCAGTTCAGTGAATTAATGGCTTGAAGGGAAGAGAGCACATTTCCATATTTTCTTCATTCCTTCCTCCCTCCTCTTTTCATTTCTTATGAGTTATGAATTCATCACTTCATGATTAATTTTACCCTCGATTGCCTTTTGTCTTCATGCTCTCAATCAGGTTTTCATCTCTACAATGTAGAATGAAATGTAGAAGAGATTCCACAATGGTTATTTCTTTTATCTTCTGTATTAGGAAGTTGTCACCAATATATTCAAGAATTTACCAGTTGTCCTATATCCTGTTGCGTTCCCAACTTTCTGTTGGGAAAGGGCATTTTACTGTAGTCCCTTTCGCTTGCAGCGAAATCTGGAACGCTTTTCCCAAGGGAAACACACAATACACTAATGGTTTAATAATAGCTTCAGGAATGATTTGTTGATCGTCCCTCAGATGGATTGGGGCACACTGCTGCACGTGCCCTAAAGTTATGTATAGGGGAGATGGAGTTCCTGGAGGAAGCTGCTAGCGTGGCCAAAGCCTGCAGTATAGGAATATTGGTATTGATAACGGGGCTGCTGTCAGCCCCAGAACAAGAGGCCGTGGGATGGAATTTGCTTGATTTGCTTGTGCTTGCATCCACGCTAGCTTCAGGCTGCAAAATGTCATCTCATCTCTTTGCAGTACATCAAAGCCTCTCTGCCAGGTTAAAAGCAGATCTTGTAGTCTTTCTCCACATGAAGTGCAGGGAGACAGCTGGGATTATGAATCCATTAAAAGCTACCTGTGTAGGAGATGTATTTGATTTTATGTGTGCACGCACACAGACACATGCGTATTTTTATTAGCCAACATGGTAATGTTTGGCCAGCTGCCTGGAAACTATTCTAAACTCTACCCAGAGTGGGAGCTTGTGAAAAATACGCTCTAGCGTATGGATGGTGTATTCTTTTAGCAGCTCCCTCGTTTCCACTCCATTATAAATATTTGCCTTTATTCATCAGTCCTCAACAATCACTTTACTGGCCATCTTTGGCAAGAAGCTAGCATGGAGAATGTATATATTTAAGTGTACTGGACCACACTAGTGGTTAGGTAATTAAATCTGAAATTATTGGAGGTGGGAGCATAGGATTGTGTTGTAACTTAAGTGCAGCTTGCCTTTTTTTTTTTTTTTTTTTTTTTTTTTTTTTTTTTTTTTTTAAAGGGTTTCTGGCTTTGGGACAGATGTGGGCTATTAATAACAAAATCTGTTCTTAGGGATGCCAGTCTCTTTTAACCTTAATGTGTTACCCTCTCTTCCCTCCCTGGTTTGTTTTTTTTTTTTCTCCAAACCATCAGGTCCCAAGCCTCTGTGAAGATCTCCTCTCCTCTGTTGATCAGCCATTGAAGATTGCGCGAGATAAGGTGGTAGGAAAAGACTATCTATTGTGCGACTACAACAGAGATGGAGACTCATATAGGTGAGTTCATAACCAAAGCAAGGAACTAACTGGTTTACTTTGTAAATGAGAACTATGTGCAAGTATTGCAGTCCCTTCTCCCTCTTATTCCTAGCCAAAAAAAAGAAATTTAATGATAACTAAACTTGGTGATGAAGCTGGGACTGTTTCAAATCCTATTCTCTTGAGTAAGACACAGACTATGGAAGTTGTTCTTAGTATTTCTCTAATGTGAAAGGGCATAAACATCTTCATCTCCAGACCACCGTGGAGAGCTTCAGTTTCAGATAACGTGGTTGTATGGCTGCTAATCTGATGACCTTTGCAAGGCACGTCCCCGTTGTCTGTCTCCAGAACAAGATTTCTTTTATCCTACAAACCACAGTGTTTCTGCATGTTTTCTTTACTGTGATTTGCAGTCATTCATTGAAGCCTAAAATGTGATGATGTTATCTTGTTAAAGGGGTGACTAACGCATTTCTCATAGGTTTTCTGTAGTATAGTTATGTCTTAAAGAATTAAAACCAGGCAGATCTCTAGAAGAAATGATTGTGATGACCTTGGCATGAAATTAAACCATCTATTGTTGCAAGGTTGTAAAATCTTTGGAACGGATAACAACAGAAAAGAGATGATGCAAGCAGTTGGTTCAAACAAATTCATCTTCTGCTTGTACAAAACAGGGTGGACTTGCCAGCTGGGAAAGGCTCTTTCATTCTCGTTTTGCAAGAGATTGAGTCTGACTTTGGACTTGCAATGTCATTAGTTCTTGATGAAAATCTTGGCCGAAGTTTTTTAGCAAAGAAAAGGAATCCCTCTCTACCAAAATAGCTAATTTATTCTGAGGACTGTAGACAAAACCAATGAAAATATTTGAACAATATAAGCTGCATGTAATTATAATATAATGAATTTTGAAGTAGAGAGGGCTGTGATACTGGAACGGTACAGTGAGTTTTCAGGATTTTGGCTGCCACTTTTAATGCAGCCTCTCTTATAATGTTTTTATTCTGTACCTTGCCATTAGGATGATTACAGTTGAGTGATTCCCCCCCCCCTTTTTTTTGCATTGCCTGCCTTTTAACGGCTGTAGTGATGGTGGCATAGTTCCAAATATTTAATTAAGAATCACAAAGCTTATAGTCCAGAAACCTTCGTGAATATTGCATCACCTAGCTTTTATTCTTTTCTCTTAACGAAGGGTGCTAGGCTGTGAAGTAATGACCACCATTTATCTTCCGTCCTGAGTTAACAGCTCAGCCGTTCTGCTGCTTCTGGTTGTGATTATAAGGGTTACCTCTCTGGCTCTCCGTGCCGCTTCAGTGTAATGGCTTACATTTTTAGTGCTAACAATTGGAACTGATCTACAGTAGGAACCTAGCTTTGCTTTGTGCAGATTTGCAGTAGTGTTTTACATTCATCTGGCCAGAATGTTTAGAGAATTCTATTTCAAAGTGCAATTCCAGGAAATATTTTAACAGTTTTTTTTTTTTTCTTTGGCTCAGGCCATCATTGCAGAAGCAGGTAAGCTTATCAAGGATTCTAGATTAATTGCTTTCAATTGCTTTGAGTTGCAGGAAAGGTGCTTATCTAAACTGAAAGCATATCTGTCTGTAGATGATTTACACAGAGAACATGCTGAGATTCATTTTGTCCTAGAAACAGGAGGAGGAGACTGATCATGGATGCAAAGTTTGGCAGTGCATCTGGATTGTGGCTGACTGTAAACCTTCAGGAGTTTTTTTTTTTAAATATAACCTATTGCAGTGGGCCCAGAAGTAAGAAGGTCTCTAAGGTGAAGTGGTCACTCGTGTTCTTTAGGGTACTAGTCTAACTTAACTGAAAGTTTGTTCAACCTTCTACAAAAGAGCCTGGTGCCTTTTAAAAGCATTTGTGCATTAAGCTTGTATGTCTAAGTTGGTCAGATCTATGTTAGCAGCTACGTGTGTTTAATCAGTTCTAAATTAGTAGCTAGAATAGCGTTTTATAGCTTCTGCCCTCCACAAGATGTACTCACGCAGCTGCATCCTCTTTGGCAGATGCAAGAGAAGGGATTAGATCCTGTATTTCTTGTGGGTCTTTCAAGGGATGATTTCTCAGTGGAGTTGTGATATGTTTCTTGCAGTCCCCTTGCATCCTGTTTAGGCTGTTGACATGAGCATCTATCACCGGAGGTACCAGGAACTTGAAAAGGCACTTGTTAAACAGTATTGTGACATGCTGCAATAACTAATAACACTTGCTCCCCACCCCCCCGCCCCACCGGGTTTAATTAGTGCATGTGGCAGCCCTTTCTTTAAGGTTAGTTTCATGCTTGCCTCTGAAATTTGCTCAATCTCTTTCTTTCTGAGAAGATACTTAAATAGTTACAAGGAAACAGGAGGACTTACCTTTTTTTTCAATCACTCTGAAATTTTCAGGACTTCTTAAGTAATGGGGTTTCAGAAAAGCTATTTCATTTGTCTAGAATAGGCATAATGTATTAATTGCTGGCATTAAAGAATGCTGTTCTTTAAGGCTTTTGATTCAAGCGTTCTGGATTGAAGTGATTCTTCCTTCTGGAATTGATTGGTCTCAGCTCTGTTTCGTGAAGTAAATTCTTTCCTTCAGCGCAAAGCAAAAGCCTTTGAAAACCAAGCGATACTAACATGTGCATGTGTTAATCCCATTCTGTGCCTGCGTTCAGACACTGCTATTCATACCTCATAAAATCTGAAGTTGTTACTGGGAAGTGGCTCTTACACTAATTTAATCAATTAGGGCAAAATCTAGGAGGAGTTTACTGTGCTTTTAAAAGCTTTTGATATTTCCACAAAGATTTTTCAGAACCACATGCTTGATTAGAAGTCCCAAGAAATACTATTCCCCGCCTGCAACGTGCTACATCCCCAATTACTGCACACTTCAAACTGAACACCAGTTTTCTTCTTAGGAGAGAGTTTGCTAATTGCATTTCTTTTAATACTGATCCAAGGATTTCAAAGCATTCTACAGACAGCTGAACTTCATGCTACTTAGGCAGGAAAGGTGGAGCTAGGTAGTCAGACTTTCTCACCGGGAATCAAGTTTTATAGGGGTTTTTTTGAGTGGCTTTACAATTTGACTGGGAATTAGCTTTGAAAAAAAGCTGCTGTGGGATATTTGGCCATTCAGGTGCTAACTCCACCAGTTTCATCAGGCAGCACACAGGGGAATGAATATCCTAATGCTTAGCCCATCACAGTTTACTCTGTCCTTATATTTAGATAGACTTGATTGAAGGCAGGTTTTTGGAGTCTCTCTTGGATCTTCATAAATAGATGATTTTCAGTTTCTTCATATTATCGTACTGCCGCTTGTGGGAGCAGCCTTTCGTGCGCGTGGTCTCGCAGGGACTTCTGCGAGTACTTCTGTAATAACAAAGGTTTGTGGAGGATATCGAACAGCCGTGGAATCCACATTGGGAAGGCAGAGGTTTTGGGGGTTTTTTTTGGTTGTTTTTTTTTTTGTAATAAGACTTCAAGGTCCCTGACTTTGTCCATACATTTCCACTCTGAGTACGTTTGATGACTCTATTAAATGGAATCCTTATGGGGAATTTGGTGCCAACAACACTGAAACTTGTTAGCTGAAACAAAAAACATTCTCTTTCAGGGAAATTAGAGGTCTGACTTTTGAAATGTAAGGGCTTGTCCGTCTGTCTGTCTTCAAATAGCCTCCATTTAAGTTTTTAAATGTGTTGTGAGTATTCCACAAAAAGAAAAAAAATATGAGGTGGTGTTATGAGGGGTTTTTTTTAGGTGAAGTTACTGCTGGCTTCAACTGTAATGGGTTGAAAATGCCACAATCTGGTAGCTAGAAGAATCTATGTTACTAGGCTTCCCTTAAATCCCATTTCTGCAGCCTGCAAAAGACATCTAATGTTTACAATTAAAGTATCTTGACTGTAGCTTCTGCATGGGTTCTCTGCTCACCGATTTCCTCGTACATGACGGAGAAGCACAGTGTTCCAAATTTAGGGAAAACAGTAGAATTTTTTTTGGAATCTGCCTTTTAAAATTTAGTAGAGAAATAAAAAAGAAGCGCATCCTAATGAATGCTGCTGCTAAGGTAGCAGGGCACTTCTGCATTGCCTGGCATACAAGCCCTGGCTTTGCTTTTGCAGACTTCATGATAGCAAGGGCAATGCTCTGTCCACCTGAACTTCTTTGGTGGTGTTTGGTTTTGCGCGTACTGCCTGATGGGTGTAGGCGTGCCATTTGGGAATCCCACAGATAGCACCGGTGGTGATTTTTGTGCGAATCTTTTCCAGATTTCAGAGGGTCGTTAGGTAAAGGAGCACTACTGTACGGGTCAACTTTTCTCCAAAGCAACTGAGTTTTAAGCAACTGTTTGAAAATGCGAACCACCACCCGAAAAACATTGGTCCGGGTGGAAGTGACATAATGATTTAGCTTTTCCTGGTGTCTCACCTTTTGAGTCGGATGGGGTAGGGAGGAGTGAAGTGTTGTGCAAGCGCAAAGCCGGAGCGAAGCAGAGCCTGTTCTTTGTGCTTTGCATTAAACAGATGTCAAGACTAGATGCCTTTCTGAGAAATGAGTAACAAATGGCTACTGAGGAAAAAGCCCTTACGTATGGACTGCATTAAGACCTACAGCTAGTAGGCTGGAGTATTTTGAAAAGTGAGTAGGTAAAGGGTAGAGGTGCCTTTCTTTAAACTAGTAGTGATATATGTAGGTTGGTTATTCCAAGGGGAAATGAAAAGGAGAATGTAGGTTTACAGAATGGGAATTATAAAAGTCTCAAGCAGATGGGCAAAGGGTTCCATTAATCTTTTAATACCAAATCTTTCATTAAGAGCACAAAATCTCTTCCACACCTGCAGAAATCATAGTAAAACCTGCAGCTTTACAAACCCCATTAAATCCTTCAAACTCTTCAAACGTTTTCCTAATGTTATGCTAAAAGCAGAGTTTATTTCAAAGCAAAATAGTGGAGGAGAATTTGGACCTTAATTGTAGACAGCAGTGTTTGGCTCAAATACTCTCAGATCCCAAATAAACTACACAATCTATTTGTATTTGCATGAAAATAATTTTAAATATCTAATGTGCAACAGCTGAGGCCTCCTTTTTGAATATTTAAGAAGGAGCAGGGTCAAACCCAAGCATGATTATTTATATAGTAGAAACCTGAAAATGGGGAGTGTTTGCCGGGTACACTGTAATCTTCGCGGAGTCAGTGTCCCCTTTTTGTCCGTGTTTGAAATGGCTGCTGAGGGTGAAATGCTTACAGATGCTCTCGGTACCTTTTGGTTTTTTGGAAGTTCAGCGGATCAGGTCAGACCCACGGATCTCAAACCTTTCAGAGTTTGTCTCAGTTGTCTAACCGTCTCTGCTTTCCTTGTCTCTTTGGCAGATCACCGTGGAGTAACAAATACGATCCTCCCCTGGAAGACGGTGCCATGCCATCTGCTCGCCTGCGCAAGCTGGAGGTGGAAGCCAACAATGCCTTTGACCAGTACAGAGACTTGTATGTCAGTTCTACCGTACAGAGCCCTCTGCTTTCTTTGTTTCCTTCAGCAGGCGTGCAGTACACACAATGAGTCTAAAATGTGGTCGCTAGCTGCCTCTGAGGGTGGCATACCAATGTATGGCAGAGGAAGAAGGGTAGGCAGCCACTGATCTGCTGTTGGGAAGCGTATCCGCTGTGATTTCACGATACAAAAACATGATTAAATTTGTCGGTGGATGCTAAAGGCAGATGCTGAGGTGCTCTCTTGCCTCCCTCCCCCCTTTAATGAATTAATGGTGTCTTTGTCCTGAAATGACCCATGTTCTCTTTGATCTTGACTAAGTTCAGTCTTAAACCATCTGCATTTTCCATTCCCTCAGGACTGTACTCTCTCAAAGTATTTATATATATAGCAGCAACTTTCACATCTTCCAGAAAAACCACAGGCGCGAGTATACTGAAATGCAGCAGTTGTGTGGGGAGTAATGCACTTCTGCTGCAAGGGCCATTTTCTGATGCTTGTTTTGGGCCCTGTCTTGTTAAAGAGGTGTAAAGCAAAGGAATTAATAGAGCGCATCTAAGGTGAATGTAGGTTAGGCAGTGTCTTTTTTAAAGCAGCAGTAGGAAACTGTCCAGGTGACTTGTCAGTTGAACGATTTTTCTAAAAGGTGAGACTGCACTGGCCTTGTACTGCACTCGCATCCGAGGTCTCGAGATGTGATCAGGTTTAGCTGTCTTGTTTACAGATTGTGGTCTCCTGAGCAGCGATGGGATGGAAATAGTAACGCTAAATCTAAAAGGCAAGTGTGTGTTGCAAAGCAAAATGAACTTCCTGCTTTATCCAGTAAAGGGATGCTTTCTTATTGGAGATGCCTAATGACCATGCAAAAGGTGAACAAACCTCGCCGCTTCTTCATGTTGCCCAAAAATGGAGATAAGACGCATCCTTAGATATGCTTCATCATGTGTCACTGTACTATTGCAATGCTAACAAAAGCAGGTAAAAAGGTGCTTTTCTTGCTAGATTTTCTACTCATTTTAAGATACAGCTTGATGTAAATGTAGCCTGTCCAGATGGGTAATCTTCACACTTTTGTTACAGGTATCAAATTTTTACTTATTTTCATGCATTATTTTCATAGATATCCAACTTCTCATGTAAGTAACAGTTGTTACTGGTATCTGAAATTACTGGAAGAAAGAGAATTTTGCATATGCAGCAACGAGAGGTTTGCAGTTACTCCCCAGGTGCAGAACGGACCAGGATTTTTAATACACTAAGATGAAAATGAGTAGGATTGCGGAACCAAGGTTGTCTTTTTTAAACCCCTCTCTGATCAGGTGACCATGAAGTCGTGGCTGGATACAGTAACTCCTTTAAAAAGGGTTCATTTGCAGGAAGGAAAGTGTGGTGTAGGTTACTCTCAGGCTTTGGTAAATCTGCTGATCCCCGTTCAGCGTGTGGTACAACAGTAGTCGTAATATATTGTACGGAAGTAAAAGGCGAGATTGTATCAAATTTCATCTTTCAGTTTGTCAGTCCAAGTTTTATAGGCAATACATTGTTACAGGGCATACGGGAGGGATTTCTCACAAAGACTTCGTTCTCGTGTCATCAGCCAGAAATGACGGAGGTATTGTGGCTTGCAGTGTAGTCAGACTAGATAAGCACATCTGTCAGCACAGTACACTTTGATGCATGTTATGGTCTCAAAAATGTGTCGGAAAAAGAGGAGAAGGGTGGCTTACATTTTGCTGAGTAGTGTAAAAATGGTGGCATTTTTGGAAAGAATTTGCAAAGTTAGGGAAACTTAACCTGACCGTTTCAATGGTTCCTCATGCTTGAAATTGGAAATGATTTGTACTTTACCTACAACAGAGATTTGGATGGAAACATGCTTTTGTTCTAGTAGTTGGACTCTGCACTTTCCTTAATAAGACAATTGGATTTTGTATTTTGACAGCAGAAGCTTAATTTTTACTTGGAGATCGGGGAGGGGGGGATGAGGCGGGGGTAACAAGTGCCAGCTTTTCTCACTGCTGCTTGCTGGTCTTGCCAACATATCAGGTTGGGAATGACTGTGGCAATTACCGGCGTAACAGCCGCTGAAGCCGTGCGGGAGTCTGAAGTGTGGGGAAGGTTGTAGTGGGAACAAGATGGCAATTGCAGTGATGTAATTTCCATGGTCTGCTAGAGCTGGAAACAAATACTGTGCACCCGCTGTAAAGCCAGAAGTAGGTCTGAGCCATGTGATGGCGATTAAAGGTGTCACTGGCCTTCTGGTTTGGCAGCTTGCAGCGCTGGGAAGGGAGCGCGCGATGCATTGGTTCCAGGACAAAGTTATCAGTGTTGTTTCAAATTCCAGAGCCAGTGACAACAGAGGTTTTCCAGCATTATGAAATATTTCAGGCTCGTTTGAAAGCGCCGATGTATTAATCAAAAAGAAGGGTAGCGTGCAGGCAGTCTTCGGTACAGTATCTTTTGCAGAAATTATGGTTTCTGTTGTATGGGAAGATTTCCAACAGGTCCACCTTCCAGTAACGGTGTTCATTTTGTCGGCAGTGTGCAAAAAAGGTTTCTAAAATTGACCTGCAGAGACTTTCATTGTCTCTGCTCGCTCTGATGGGGTTGTCTGTCCAAACAGACCATTCATAGGCGACAGAAATCCGATTGATACTTCACGTTACAAATTCTTCTTTTAAAAATGTTGAGTTTAAGCGCAGTGGCTGTCGCACTGTTAGACGTTCAGTTTGCATTGCAGATTTAAGAGGATGAAAATGATGCTGGGAGAGAAGCCTCTGCTCCGACGCATCAGGTTCCCATACAGCAGTCCCTTAAGAGGCTGTTCTGTCCCCCTCTCTACGGGGTAGAGAATGTTTTTGAACTACACCTCTAACCACAGCTATGCTGTGTTTTATGGTAGAGAGGTAACAGTTAATACAAAAAGAATCTTATGTAAGCAGTCATTCACAGAGAACACCAGGCTCCAGTGTGCTTGAATTTCCTGGGCTGTTAGGCATTTTATTCCTATAATGAGGCTTTCTGCTAGGTTTTTCAAAGCAGTTTGTGGCTTTGCTTCCAGCCTTGCTGAGCTCAACGGCTGGATCTTGCGCTTGCAGTCATCTAGGCAGTACGCCGGCCCGTCTCAGAACGATGTGGTGTATCTTACTACCTTGTAACCACTTGCTTCGGAGACGTTGCTCTGCATGGCTCTCGCTTCACTCCCCAGCTTTAAAATACATCTTATACTGGTCGTTCCAGCGGGGAGCGGAAGAGGAAGATGTTTCCTTTCTATAGAAAAATAAGTACTTTTGAGAATATGTGCTATTCCCTCTCTGCTCTCAGCATACTGTCCAAGCTGCCTCTGGATTATCTCCCATTATACCATTACGCACAGTAAGTGATAATATCTCAGAGAGTTCATCTTGGGCGACTCCCAAGACTTCGCATAGTTTCAGTTTTTCCTTGTGTCGGTCCCATTTGGCCCACATACCATTCCTCTTTAGATTTCTGTTCTAATCAGGTGTGGTACGTATCCACCTACGTTTAGTGAGTCATCGGCGTGTATTTGCCATTTCCCAAGGGGATGGCACCTGCTAGCGTGGGTGTTTTGAGGGAAACGGCCTGTTATGCGTTTGTTAACAATTTGTGTGAAATAATCCATACAGATTTGCTTGCCAGTGGCTAGTCTTAAATTTGAGTTTTGTCCCCAAAAGCTTATTGGCCAGCACACTGAGTGTCTGTAGTGTGAAAATAAGTTTGGAGAAGTCTTGTAGTATCGAATGGAGTTGTTTCAAATCATGAAAGCTTGAGAAGGAGAATTTTGCTGAATCTTCAGTGCCTCCTAACCGGTGCTGAGTTGTTCCCTGTAAGTGTCTGTCTTAATGCAAACTACCGTTCAGTATCTCTAGAGTTGCCCACCTTTCATTTCTGGAGGCATGTTCACGCCTCTTTGGGTTAAAGAGGAATTATACGAGGCTTTAATTCCCTCTCTATTATATACGTTAAACAACAAGCGTATTTCTTGGTTATCTGTTTTAGCAAAATGCATGTCACTTTCCCAAAAAACAACTGTTTAATTTTGATCTCCTGCTGCCAGGTTTAACTCAGACACTGCCTGAAGCTAATGCCCTGGTATGTTTTTGTTCAGTAGGTTATTATTCCCAGATGGAATTCTAATATCTTACACCATTCAGTTAGAGCCTTGGCTCTCCACTTCCAATATCGTGAAGATAATTTCTTCAAACACATGGTTGTAATTTATTGCCCTTTGCTTGACGTGTGTGTGCGATTGATTGAAATCAAAGCATAATGAGGACCAGGGCATCTGGATAAATCTATCTATTTTAGATTCTGTGTTCTGTTGGTTTGGGTTGGAGATAATCAGTGCTTTAATTAAGTAATCTAATCGCTCTTTGTTGTCTGGAAGAAATTGTTTCTGAAGTGATTAAATAGACCTCCCTGGGGAAGGATGCTGCTGATCTGAATATTTCTACAAACAAGATGAGTTACCTCTTTGTTTCTTGGGTTAAGATGGATTTATTGGTACTTTTGATTTTTAACAGCTTTTTTAAAAAAAAAAAAAAAGATAAAACACTCCTCTTAATCATTCTGCTCCTGAAAAATGTTTTTATTGATTAAGGTTTTGAGTTCCCTCAACAGAATAAGCCACGAAGCCTTTTGAACTTCTGCTTCTGTCTGTGTTTTGATGTGGATCCATTTTCAATTTGTTATGTTAGAGTTCTGGACAAGGAATTTGGTAGGAGCGGAAGGAGGTCTGGGAGAGGATTGACCTCTGAAATATCTTCATTGTGTGTAATCCTCTTGTTATTGAATTTTGGATTAGAATCCTGTCCGAAATAGAGTTAGTCACTCAAATTTTTCCATGGTGTTAGCAGTGCTGAGGATGGCACCCCTGCCAACCAAGCATTTGCAGTACTCTCTGCAGCATAGATACTGCCTGAGCTGAACATCCATCACCTTTCTCTTTTCAGGAGAAAAGAGGAGGAGGAGGAAA